AGTTCAGAACAGCTTCAGTTTTTATATGTTAAGAGATAATAAGTCTTTTTGACTGTCACATGTCTTTTTGGGCTCTCTAGAAGTGAAATTCTGTTTTTCCCTTACTAGGCAGGTTTCCGGGCCTACGAAAGATGTTTTTGCTCCCTTTTTGGCCAGAAAATTATAATTAATTACAATATTAATGAAAAAGTATTGAAACGGAATTGCATATTCTTAAGATCATTTACTCACTCATATAACTGTATGCCTTATACTCTAAAATCTAAATGTTAATTAATGTTTTTATTGTCTTTTTTCCTGTGTTAATGCTAAAAATCTATGACTCCATGTTTGCAATTAAAATAAAACTTAACATTAATATTTAAATGTGAAATTTCCTTTCTAAATAAATATTATATATATTTATATTTATATATATATTTTCGTGTTCTTATATGTGCGCTCTGTGTTAAAATTTGATTTAATAAAAAAAATTATAAATTTTATAACTACGCGATATAATTAATCTATATTGAAAACTCTACATCACGTGTACGTATATATATGTATATATAAATATATATAAACAAATGATTTCGAACTGTTCGTGCACGATGCGTTTGAAACTGTCTACAACCACACAAACTATAACTAAATATATAAACGAAAATCTGAAAAATATGCCAAAAACGATATTAAACAGATTTTCAAAAAAAAGGTAATTTTTCTCCCGAAATCCTTGAATCCTTTAAATAAGTCGCTTACCTTCAGTTCTGGTTTGTTTTAGATTTTATGTAGTTTTTGCTTAAATGTTCTAAATTTTGTGTGAAAATTATGTTGAGAGCAAGTTTTTTCAAATAATTAATTATAACATATTAAATAAAAATTAATTAAATTAAATTTGCATGCTAAATAAAATTTAATTTCGATTGGTGCAAAAATTGTTTGCTTAGATTTAATATTTTGTGTAATGTCCTTAGAAGCCTTTAGTTTTAGAATTGCAAGAATTGGGTACCTATAGAAAATAACTGAATTAATTATATATGAAACCTTTTTAAACATTTAAATTATTTTTTATTATTTAATCTTTTTATGAAATATGAGTACATTAAATGAAACTTTTAAGGAATTGGTGGAACCCAAATGTTTTAAAAAGGTTTCACTTAGTAATATTTTTCCTAATTAATTTTTTTTTCAAAAGTTCTCCAAGTCTTATATATCAAGAAGAGAATTAACTCATTTCAAAACATATTCAAATCTAGGAAGTCGGTGAAGAATCGAAACTAGCACGTAGCATTGAACGTGTCCGCGATTTAATACGAAAAAAACGTCTTGAACGTAAGGAACGCAAGGAGCGAAAATATGCATCAAAGTTTCAGCAAATTGTTATAGAAGCCCAACAACAAGCCTCGACATTGGCCATCGAAAAGCCAACCCTGATATCAGAAACCAAGTTCCATAGACTAAGTTATCAGGTAAGAATATTTAATAAAAAAATAACTAATTTTGGTTATTGTAAGCCATAATTCTTAACCCAAGGAATCTATGAATCGTCCAGTATCGGGATCTGACTTTGGTTACCAAATTCCATTAAAGGATGGTTTACAGACAATCGCTGATGGCGTTGAATATGAAAATGATTTTCAGCAAGAGTTACAACAGCATTTACAGCCAATACACTTGCCACCGCAACAACAATTGGAGCAGCAATTCCAATTTCAGCAACAACAAATAATTGTGCCAGCTTATGAGGGCAATATTTCAAGCTCCTGCCAATTAGACAATAACAGTCATAATGACTATAATACACTATATCCTCAAGCAGAACGAAAATTATTACATCAGGTGTCTTCCGGTTTTGGCACTCAACATTATGATTCACGCGATGATCCCACATATACTGAATCCATAGAGTTACGGTTGATGGGACAGTATAACTCAACAGATACAGATCCTTACCCTAATGATCATCGCAGTGGGTCTTTTGTCAGAGGAGATTCATTGCAAGATAGTTCATCACGTCGCTATTATAGCGAAGAGCATGATGAAGCTTATCTGCAGTACCAAAAATCTTTACTAACTAGATCACCAAGTTATCGCAAGTCTCTTGACCGTTTGTCTCAATCAAGTGATCAATCACAACGGTCGCTAATACCCTCGCGTAGTCTTAAGTCTGATGATGATTTACATTTGCATGTACATAGACATTCGAGCGGTTTGTCGTTAAATACAATTTCTATAGAGCACGAAGAACTTTTATCCCAACAGGGCAACCTACGCGATGAACTGCTAAATTGTGAACAGAGAGAATTATTTCAGTTCCTTCAGGAAGATATAGACAATAGTAATAACTATTTTAGTGACACTGTTGGTTATGGCTCAGCAATATTAGAAGCTGATACAGATTCACTCATTGTTGATTGTAAAAAGGAGGATAGAAAACCGTCAACTAGTAGCATTAAATCAAATTTAAGTTACTTATCCAACTCTCTTATTCAACAGTTTGAATCTCGTCGTAATGGTAGTGTTCATTCGGGCAATGGTAATGGTTATGAACGAACTGAAAAAGTGCCATTAGTAGAGCACTCTGAGTTTGACAATATAATTCAAAGTTTTGAAAAGGAACTAGAAGAGATCAAAAGGTCCACAACTTCTTTAGAGCGACGTCTTTCGACATTGTCAGAACCTTCCCCAATTGCTGATGAAGCGAATAAGGCCATACTGGATCACATCGCAATTATAACTGGATCTTCCGAACGTACAGCAGCAGATGAAGTTGTTAATTCATTAAACCCTTATGACAGTTACGATATATCGACAGTACCTCGACGTCCTCATCCTATTCTGTCCAGTGTTGATAGAAACTCAATTAAAATAAAGCGACGTAGCCTTGAAAAGCAACGTAAAATTGATGATGATTTTAGTATATCAAATGAGATACGTAAAATCTGTGATCAAATGCATGCACCTTTTGTGACAATGGAAGCAATGGCTGTAGCTGCTACAGCAACTGCTGCAATTGGGACACAATCGCCGTTTCAACGTCGAAAAAATGAACTATTCAGTGCTCAATTCGATCGTTTTAAATGTCTTTCCTTAATCGAACCTGTAGAAGAAGTACCTGAAGAAGATAAACCAATATCAACGTTACGTATGGAATCTGAAAAACTGCCACGCAAATACTTGACCATTGATGCACTAAAAACAGATAGTCTTTCATTGAAAAGCACAAACTCCTATGAAAATTTACTCATACAAAAGCAATTAAGTCGTGCATCGCAAAATGGATCACTACCATCAACTACGCATGTACCGCCGACACCACCCGTTTCATTAAAATCTACAATAGAACCACCAAGTTTAGTACAAATATCATCGCTTAAAGCGACTCCCCCTCTTGCATCTCTTACCGAACATCAGCAACACTATCATGCTACCAAAATTGAAACCACAACACCGATCCTCCCAAGGGCTGCAGGCGGTAATTTAAATGTTAAAAAAATCGCGGAGCATCCACAATCGAAACTAGACAAAGCCGCTTCCTTTCAATCAACTCGCACCGAATCTCATAGCTCGGGTGCGGCCGACACAAGTTCGGCTCTGGCACACAATATCTCCAGCAACAGAAATGGTGCTGGAACGGAGGCTAATAAGTCGCAGAAATCAACATTTTCACGGCTGACTGAAAAGCCATGGCATTGTTTGGTCTCCTACGTAGACGATCTCACTGTAGGTGGGAGACGTAACTCGCAGGGAGCATACAATGATCCAATGCAATATCCAAGTTTTGGTCACACTAAGCCGCCGAAAGTGCCAGAAGATTGTTTCCCTCAGAAGTGTTACGATCAGTAAGTAAACATTTTTCATTAAAAAAAATAACATTTCATTTAAAAGTAAATACTTGTATACGTATTGCAATAATTTAATTTTTTAATAATAATAATAATTATGATTTTGTTAATATACGAGAATGAATGAATAAATATAAATCATTTAAATATTGTTTAAAAACCTTTAGCTTTTACTTTCGCTGTCCATGGTTCATATCTTGTATGGGCACTAAGACTGCTGCGCGGTGGACACGCGTAAGGACGGCTGTCTTAACGGTTGTCGATACTCCAGCCTTTGAGTGGTTTGTCTTGGTACTGATCTTCGCATCAAGCATAACGCTCTGCTTTGAGGATATATACTTAGACAGTAACAAGTCGCTGAAGCGCATACTTTACTGGACAAATTTGTCTTTTTGTCTAATATTCGTAATTGAAATGGTGCTAAAATGGTTAGCTCTGGGGTTTTCGAAATATTTTACAAGTTTTTGGACATTGCTGGACTTTATCATAGTTTTCGTAAGTAACTAACTACTTTTTACTTTTTACTCTCTTCGTGCTTTAAACGTGCTTTCCTTCTATTCCATTTTAAGGTATCAGTGCTTTCGTTATTAATCGAAGAAAATGAAAACCTCAAAGTATTACGATCTTTACGTACCCTAAGAGCTTTGCGCCCTCTAAGAGCAATATCGAGGTAAGTCAATCCGTACACCAACTATATACTCTCATAACTTGTGTCGTATTTTTACAAGATGTAACTTTTTCCATGGAATGTGTTGTTTATGTTTACAAATAAATTTTTGAAATATCTTCTTGTGCAAGCATTATTTTTTCAGACAATTTTCTATTTACTATTTACTCTGAACCTTCTCTTTGCTCGCTTGGAAAAGAATCCTACTTTACGTATTTTAATTAATGTATTTATTATATACCATATATAAAATATTTAGGAAGTATTTAATACAATTCCATCTTCTTTAAGAATTTCGAATAGAAATAACAGCACTTTGGATTTGTTCATAATCGAACATTTCCGTAAGAAATTTCTTTCGTGCGAGGCGTTTCATCCTGTAGATGTCCTTTAAAAACTTATATACGAATTTTTAAAAAAATTTTATTATTAAAATAAAAAAATATTTTTTGAGTTGCGAATGGAACAATATATAATTGAAAAAAAATTGTGAGAGAAGAGTTTTCTTTTTAAATCTGGAACATTGACAGTATTATCTATTAGTGATTTTGTAGTAGTAGTGCCAAAGTGAAGTAAAGCTCTGCAGCGGAAGATCGTTGGTTTAAATTTTTGGTTGCAAACACAGAGCAATTCGTTACTTTTTGCTTTCCAAAACATTTTAGATTTATTTTATTTATCTATTGAATTCCTCTATAGATGCACGAAGTATTATAAGTAGTAGTAAGAAATATTATGAGAAAATTTTGGACGATGAATACACCATATATACAAACTAGCTGAAGATATTAGATGCTTTAGACCGAACTTCATAATTAATATAGTTTTATTACATTGTACATATTTTATATAAATCAATATGTACATATATATTACATATATGGTTTGGTATATATTTTTGAAAAATTTTTACAAATTTCACACTGCATGTTTTAAATTTAAATAGTTTAAATTAACTATTTACGCACTCATATTTTGAAATGAAATTTAACTCTTCTTAAACGAAAAGTATAATTTATAGTTCTTAGTGATTATTATATGATGTATTGTAAACAATAAGCTTTATTTCAACAAAACTAACTTAAGTAACTCCAGTAATATAGCTAATTAATAGCTTAGCTATGTTGAAAACGATGGTGTACTAAGGATAGTACGAATTTTTACTTAAGCTTTTTGTGCTAATAATGATTATCGAATGTTTAAAGACTGGTTACTTGTTGCGATTAGAGACTCCATAACTGTTTGGACTTTGTTGGGCACCGATTAATAAGCAGTAAAAATAAAAAATTATTAGTACCAATTCAAAAATTTATCAATATCGTCATATGATCTGGTAAGGTTAAGTTAGGTTAAGTGCCAGCCTACCGCACCAAAGCTCACTTAAACAGAAATAAAAGCCCGGTGTAATACAACACTGTCTATACCATCCTAATGGTGGAAGTTTGAAGCATCTAACGCGTGAATGTGCCACTTTGAGTATGTGCGATTCCACCATTTAAGTCAATGAGAACCTGATAAATCTATAAACTTAATCTTAACCTTAGTTTTGAAGAATGACTGTCAAGTTAATAAAAATAAGGAGACCAAAGATTTAATTCTTTTCACAGGCAAATATTACTTTCTTATGTGGCCATTACAACCCGTTACCCGGTTTCAGCCTGACGCAGCATGCCTTCCAGGCTCCTCTGCTACATGCACGCTTTCTTCACTCTCGTATACCAAGGTCGGTTAGTGCTCTCTCAACTTGATCTCTCCACCGGAGACACAGTCTACTTCTACGCCATCCTTCTCAAACTTCTGCTTTAAATACCTTTTTCGCTGGAGCATCTTCATCCATTCTCACGACATGACTAAGCCAGCTAAGCCGCAGGATATTAATTCGCTCTTACAAAGAACTTTTCTCTCGAACATTCCCAGTGCTGCTTCATCATTCTGTAATAACGTCCGTATGACAAAGGCAAATATAGGCATTAAGAAATAAGGTGAATTAGGTAAATTTAATAAGGTAAATTAAATGCCGTCTTATTGCATTCTTTCTTAATACACAATGGCCTGTCAACACAGATATCGTAGTACTGAGGTGGTTCCACTTTAATTGAAGCAGATGAGTGATGTTAATTTTGGACTAGGCAAGTCTTGTGATCTAACAAGAATATTCATATACTCAGGCTTTCAGCTTTCATTGCCACGTCCAGGTATTTACGTTTAATTTCCAGTAAATCCGCTGCAAAGGAGATACCATTATCCCACAAGATGCCGGAGATGACTCTGTCTCCTGAGATATTCATATAAGTTGGAGAGTGAGAATTTTAGACAACTCGTTGAGTTGCTCGGTATTCTCGAACTACTAAACAAATGGTTTTAACGCCTACCAAAGATTAATTAAAGCGATTTAGGAATTATTTTTAGAACTTAAGACCCAATTTATTAAAACAGGTTTAACAGCCGCCTTAGATGTTTAGGTTGGCTTCGTTAGTGTAAATTTCAATCATGTTGGAGAAAACCAAATCCCAGACGTTAAGTCTGATTTCTACTAACTTGTAATTTTACCAGAAGCCTGCACGGTTGATTGCTTTAAAGTAACGTGAAGCTCTACTTTCCGTTGTGGAGTAAAAATCTTCAGTAGTTTCCAGATACCAGTTGATACACTTAAAAAAATATTTCTAAGCTGTTCCCTATATGTTGAAATTTTATCACAATCCCTTGTTTTTTTATTCACCCATTTTATTGATTCATTTTTTAGGTGTTGAACTTTATAATTAATTGATAGAACGAATATATGCGATATCTGGATTATGCAAAGATTATTTATGCTTTATTAATTTTTGTGTATCAAATATGAATAATGAAGTAGAAAATGTTCTTTGTGCGGAAAGTTCAATATATCTTTCGAAGCTTTCATTTAATTTGAAACTTCTCTATGGAAATTAAAGGTCTTGTTTTAATTATTTGTAAACTAGTGTAATCTTTCCAAACTTGTACAAAAATGCTCTCGTACGTCACTTCATAACAAATACTAAACTCTCAGTAAAACCCGAAAAACTTTCAATTTGTCGTTCCAACTGAATCAACTGTAGTTTATAAAATTTAAAATTTGTTAATTTCTTTCTATAAAACAGTGCTAATGAAACTAATATGATCATAACGAAAGATATTCGATATATTTTTGTGAAAACTTGTTTTAATTTTCTTCGCACCAGAAACTCTGAATTGATGTGGTTTATTTAACAAACGACTATATTCGTATATAGACACTACAGAATTCATTTTCAATATTGACTGAGATACAAGGTGTCGACTGTATTTCTTTATGGAAAGCCCTTTAGTTCTAAAAAACTCGAAAAATCGGATTATTTTATCAAGTAATAGATTTAAAAAAAAAATTTAGTATAAGGTGTATGATGTCGCTACATAGTAACCGAAAAAACTGCAACTGGGTTATTGCACTCGGCATGAAACATGTTTATGAGAGTATATGAGATATACTCATATACTTTGTACTCGGAAATATAACCCACAATGATATGACGTACTTAAGTCTGTATGAAGCACCCAGAATTTCAAACGACTGTTTTATGTGCTTTTTACAAATCTATGCTTTCTTATTTTAAAGTAATTAAATAATAAGCAAAACTATAATCAATCAATTCTTGTGTTCGTGTCGTAACCTACCTGAGGTCATTCACATTGTTGAAAAATTAATACTCAACAAACAATATTCGTTGGTAGCCTTCCTAGATATCTAGAAAAGCTTCAATAATGTTTTCAAGAGATTTATCAATAACTTACTTGCCATAATAGATTCACAGAAAAGCTTCAGAGAATGGGTAGTCTCAATTTTGAAAACAAGGACAAACGTTTAGTCAAAGTTCAGCGGTATAACTCCAACAAAGCAGGTTAGCAGAGCCATATTACAGGATTAATTTGGGGGGAGTAGGTTATTTTACCATTATTACGACTGAAAATCCTGTTATCTATCTCAAGCACCACCTCAGATTATTAGGTACTTAAATTATGTTACCTATTTTTTGTTTTCTTCAGAATGTACTTGTATAGATGGTTGTATATATCATTCAGAGGCATTAGATCTTTCCCTATTTGGTTTTAACACTCGCATTTTAGCAAAATTGTCAACCATTTCATTTCCCACTGTGCCTTTATGGGTACAAACCCAACATACACACAGCTCCGATCTATGGGTTAATCTGTTTTGCATTGCTAAACATTTTTGGAGAAAGGCCAGGTGAATAGATTATTTTTACTGCCTACAAAAAGTTTGTTGTGTATTTATTTTAGTTGTTTCTTCTTAATAAACAAATTGTGCAGTTTTTCTAAAAACAAATACGTCTATTCCAACTTAAAACATACTATAATCTTCGGTAATCCTATACGTGTACCTTAAGCCCAGATGTTAACATAGACAAGAGTTGTTTTTAAAACCTAATTCGATTAATATTGTCAAGTTGTGTTCCAGGCATCATAATAAATATTAGCTTTAACGTTAAAACCCCTTGAATATCTAACCTTGGGGATGTACTATGTGTATTTATGGACTGATGTTCATTTGAGCTGTTTTGTCTTATTTTTAACTCAGATATTATATCATACCTTCTTACTTAGTGATCAAGCACTTAGTCATCAAGTTTTAGATAAACCCTAGGTGTTTATTCATTATAGATAGTGGGAAAATTGTATTTCAGGTTCTGTATTATTGAATTTTATAGTAAATTGCTTATAAATAAAAGAATTATTTACTAAAATATGTAAAATTTATATGTTTATAATTATAACTTAAATTTAAACTTATTTTATAGCTTGTGTTTTTGTATATTGCATGCTAATTCCCTAAAATATTCCCAATTATTTATTTCTTCTCTAACACACTGCTTATTAAACTATTTAACTATAATACATTATCCTGTAATTTGATTAAAGTTTTTAATTGTTCAACTCCACAATATCCTTGCAAATTAATAGTACTAACAATAGCGTATCGAAATCCCCTGACTATGTGCATATTTTATTTTATTTCTATTCCAGGTGGCAAGGAATGCGAATTGTAGTAAATGCTCTCATGTATGCAATACCGTCAATTTTCAATGTGCTTTTAGTTTGTTTAGTTTTTTGGTTAATATTTTCCATAATGGGTGTGCAATTTTTTGGTGGTAAATTTTTTAAATGTCTCGACACTGATGGTGAACTGCTGCCCATAACGGTTAGTAATGACTCCAATGTACCATAGTCACATTGTGACCAAATATTTAAAGCTTAAGAATTTTTGCCTTTATACTTGTATTGTATAAAGTGTATTAACATACGTATATAACTAAATATCTTATTTTATTTGTTAAAGTCACTGATATTAATAGATCTTTTGAAATATTGCTACATATAGGAAGTTAATGATAAATGGGATTGCATTAAGCGGAATTACTCGTGGATCAACTCGAAAATCACTTTCGATCATGTTGGCATGGGTTACTTGGCTTTGTTGCAGGTAGCGACTTTCGAGGGCTGGATGGAGGTAATGGCCGATGCTGTGGATGCCCGGGGTGTTGATTTGCAGCCTCAACGGGAGGCAAATTTATATGCCTACATTTACTTTGTAATTTTTATAGTGTGTGGTTCATTCTTCACATTGAATCTATTTATTGGAGTTATCATTGATAACTTTAATATGCTAAAGAAAAAGGTAAGTCGTCCGTGGGTCCTGAACAAAAAACAGGTTTGCTTTAAATACATATTCAACAGAAAATAACAAAATAAGAAAATTCGTTAACAAAAGGTCATAATATCTATTTAATTAATTAATTAAATCAATGTTTTAATTAAATTAATTGTTCATGAATTTGAAAAATTTATTTCATGTATTAAAAATGCAAAGATTAAAAATTTTCTAAGTGTACAAAAGTAGTCACACATTTTAATATAAAATTTGTTATTATTATTCATGTTTATCTAAATGTATATATTTATCTCTTCATCATTTCAAACACAGTATGAAGGAGGAGTGTTGGAAATGTTTCTCACCGAATCTCAAAAACACTATTACACAGCGATGAAAAAGTTGGGACGAAAAAAACCACAGAAAGTCATTAAGCGACCCATAAATCATTTTTTAGCTATGTTTTATGATTTATCAAATTCGAGAAGGTAACCGAACGCTAAAAATATGATTTGAGCCCTAATTTATTCATTTTTATTTTATTTTTTAAATCTTATAAAACTATCTTTTTTTTTATTCTATGCATATGTTTATTGTTTATAGTTTATTATTGCTTCCAATGCTTATTTTAAAAAATTAAATTATGTTTTTTGGTTCAACTATACTATGTATTAATAAATTATATATATATTACGTTTAACCCCAGAAATATTTTAAAAACCGCTCATAATCTTTCAAAGTGGTTTTCTTCATAAGATTAAGCTATAGTGCATAGATAAGAACTTTTCTTTAAAAGATTATCTTTTTGCCATGCAACATGTTCGATTGTTAATGATTTGGTGATAAAATTGTTTAAACACTTTACTTCTCCTCGTTGCGAGATCGGCAAGGTGTTTACTTCTTTATAGATTTCTCTGTATAAAAACAGGACCTATAAAGAATGTACTAGCCAAAGTTTTTTATTATATATGTTAAGTAGAATTGAAATAGATGTTTTTATCACCAACAATAAATACAAACTTGAAACGATCACTAAAACTCACATAGGTGTTCCAGAACAGATTACACTATTCTATAATCTTTCAAAACTATTTCTTTATATATTCGTACAAGTCATTAAGAACAATATCTTCTTTGCTATGCATGGAGCAAATCTAACTCTTCTACTCTCTATAACTTTCATTAAAAGAAGCTAACAATATTTTAATATATACAGATCTGTTAATACGAGTATATTAAATAGCAAAGAAAGCAATGAGAATATTCTCCGATAAAATCATTTTATTTTCAAATACTTATGATAACGACTAAATCAGTAGTTTACTCAAAGATCAATGATTCAAATATAATACATATGTTATTCAATAGAACTGCGCCAATCTCGATTTATAAAAATTGGGTTCAATTCGAATTACTGAGACATTCAAATTGTTGGAATCATATTAAAAATATTTGGGAATTGGAAAAACTGAACAAAAATCCACTGCTAATTAATTTATTATTAGATTATATATATTATAGAGTATATAAACAAATAGCAAACAAAACATATAGGCGAATAATACATAGACGCATGTATGTACATAACCAATAAATGTGATTTGTTTCCTATACTATAGGAGGAAACATGTTCATAACATGTGGACCGGACTAACGAATTAATGATCAATCAGAACGACAAAGCAGTAAATGCATAATATGCATTTCCGAATTGCCAGAGATTGTTCTACCGGAAATCAATTATGCTATTGTAGTTTTGTGTTATCATTATTATTATTAGTGACTTCTTAATCATTTACAACTTAAGATCAATTATGCTTCTATTACGCCCAAAATCTTTAAAATAACGAGAAGATTTTATCATTCTCTCCTAATTGTAGTTTCTCATGTTATTTACATTCGATATCTTTTTCGTGTTACTAGTGGCAACGATTTTGTTAATAAAATATCGTTGACAGTATTTTCCGCCAATGAAGCCATTAGTGCTCATTAGTGGTACCACTAGGCCGTCATTATCTTGTCTTATTCTTACAATGTCAGATATTCTTTTACATCTATTGATAAAAGTTTACAGTTTGTGTGTAATTCAAGTCATTTCTAGACCCTATAGACGCAAAGATTAAACATTTTTTTTTGTCGTTTTAAGATGAAGTCCATTTGAAAGATAAAAGTTTAAGCAGTACGGGTACGCGACGCTTAAAATGCTTAATTAGTTATTCATTGTTCAGAGACTTGGGTTATAGTACTCTACGAAGGAGATAAGGATTCTGCAAGCAAAAATCATATAAAAAACTAAAAAGTTAATGTGGAATTGGAATAATATTGGTAGGGTTTGAGATAGAGATAAATAAATAAAATACAAGATAAGAAGGATGTAGAAACAAGTAAATAGAGATATTGATCCTAACATATTTATATAAACCTTGCTATATTAATACGACCACTGCAAACCAGTGCATTAAGAAAATGGAGCAAGTAGACTACGATATTTAATGTATAGTTTAGGTATAAATCATGAAAAAAGTAGCATTATACAGATCTCTCTCGGAATTTTGTTTTGCAGAACGAATGTTAGAAATATGATTGAGTTTTATTGTTTTCCAAAAAATAAAGAATAAAGGATATTCTATCGATTTAATCATACTGATATCGTTATTTTCGAGAATATAAAGAATTTGTCCACAGATCCAGTTTTATATCAATAATATAGCGCTATAAAGGAAAAATTTCTAAAAGAAAGTTGTCATATATATGGTTTCCGAAAGTATTTTTGGCTTCTTTTGTAAACTTCAACATTTGATAATACATCTTAAGAATATAAATCACTGAATAAATATTGTAAATATGTTACTGAGATGTATTAGATATTACTTAAACACCTGAGTTCTGTTTGATGTTGCAAATTTTTTTTTATTATCAAAAGTTTTTTATTTCTGCTCTCGTTAGTGTATTATATTTATTCAATTATATTTTAATGCCGAGAATTAATTAATAGCTTTAATAAATTTTTTGTTAAGTATTTGCTAATGCCATTTAAATTGAATATATTTGTCTTTACAAATGTTGTAATCTCTTGAACTTCTTACTTGTAATTCCCCATCCAACAACAAAATATCTACACATTTTATGAACAAATATACTATCTACAACTACAACAACAACAACCACCACCACCACCACTCAAACAAATATAGATTCGAAATAGCTATATTTGTACTGATTTTTTTAAATATGTTAACCATGGGTATCGAGCACTACAATCAGCCGCATGCGGTTTTTTTTATACTCGAAGTAAGCAATGCATTTTTTACCACCGTCTTTGGTTTGGGTAAGTCTATTACACTCCACCTAATATTATTGTTTCGTGACTTTATAATTAATAAAAAAAATTTATGTGCATCTAAACAGAGGCAATTGTGAAAATAATTGGACTACGTTATCATTATTTCACTGTGCCATGGAATGTGTTTGACTTTTTGCTTGTTTTGGCCTCCATTTTTGGCATACTAATGGAAGACATAATGATCGATTTACCCATAAGTCCCACTTTGCTACGCGTAGTCCGTGTGTTTCGCATCGGTCGAATACTGCGGTTGATAAAAGCAGCCAAGGGTATTCGAAAACTGCTCTTTGCGTTAGTAGTATCACTGCCAGCATTATTTAACATCGGTGCGTTATTGGGGCTTATTACATTCATATATGCAATTCTGGGCATGTCACTCTTTGGGCATGTTAAACTCCAAGGCGCGCTTGATGATATGGTTAATTTTCAAACGTTTGGGCGAAGTATGCAACTGTTATTTCGTCTAATGACATCGGCTGGTTGGAATGATGTATTAGAATCCCTGATGATACAACCACCAGACTGCGACCCTCTCTACAATAGACAGATTAATGGCGATTGCGGCCATCCGCTGCTGGCAATTACTTATTTTACCAGCTTCATCATAATTAGTTATATGATTGTTATTAATATGTACATCGCAATTATTTTGGAGAACTTTAATCAGGCACATCAAGAAGAAGAAATCGGAATAGTTGAAGATGATTTAGAAATGTTCTATATAAGATGGTCTAAGTATGTTAAACCATATTTCGGTTTATAGTCAGAAATTAAAAATAATTTTTAACTGCAGATATGATCCACATGCTTCGCAATTTATACACTTTGGACAGCTCTCTGATTTTATTGCATCTTTAGATCCACCGCTTGGTATACCAAAACCAAACTCAGTTGCATTGGTATCATTCAATTTAGCCATTTCAAAGGGTAATAGAATTCACTGCCTTGATATATTACACGCCTTAGTCAAGCATGTGCTAGGACATGTAGAAGAAACTGACAATTTCAAGCAACTACAGGAACAAATGGATGTTAAATTTAAGAAACAATTTCCTACACGTAAAGAACTCGAGATAGTGTCTTCTACACGCATTTGGAAGCGTCAAGAAAAAGCGGCCAAAACTATACAAACCGCTTGGAAAGATTACTTAAGGTATATAGCTTTTAAAATTTCAATATTTTATTTCTAAAAAAAATAATTTAAAAATAATTGTCTATACTTCAGAAGGAAAAAGGAGAAAGAGCGTTCTAATTCTGGAGATAGTGTTACACAGACTTCTAGTCCGGGTGGATGGCAAGCGAAACTGTCAGCACTTAACTTTTTTCATCTACAGGTAAGAATTAATAATAATAATAATAACACGAGGGTGTTTGCTTAGTCAATGATAACAGAAGGAACTAGTTGAATTTTAGTTCCTTTTAAATTTATTTTTCGATATAGTCTACTTTAAGCGCTACATACATCATTATCAATAAAATTCTTCAAAACCTCCAAAATAGTGTTAAGTTGCAAAGAAAAAAAATGTTCATTTTATCATGCTCCGTTATGTAAAATTATATTATTTCATTCTATTTATTCGGTTTAGAAATTTTTATTATGGCTGAAAGAGTATTTTATAAATAAGATATTAATTAATTATCTTTACAGGTCAGTCGTCGCGGTACTCAGTGTTCTAGTCGGGCCTCCTCACGTAAATCGTCTCGAGCATCTGATGCCTCTGACATAAGTGAACTTGCTGGTCCATGGTTAAATCTACCCTTAATGCTTGTATCTGGTGCTGATGACGTTGTCAAAGATATCAAGCAACAGAGTGAAGAGCTTGGCAAGCGGTATACATTTTTTAAAAATCCTAAATTTATTTTTTTTGATTTTTTTTGAAATCCGATATATTGCAATTTTTGGCGAATCGATTTCAATTATAATCTTTTGTTTTGACGAAGATTCTTTTCCATTAGTCCTATTTTTAGAATATCCTCTTGTCTATCTCTTACCTACGAGTCATTGCTCGCAGATATGGTATCATCGGTTTTACGAAGTGGTTCACAAACAAGCGATTTAAATATAATGAACAATTTTAAAGAATACACAAGAGGTAATTACGGGCAGTGGGCGGTCAATGTTAATAAATTTGTAATATTTTAAATATAATATTTAATTGAAGTAGGTTCTATTACAAGGTTACATACAAATTAGTTCATATATTAAGCAAATATTTTACTCTATACTCTTCTGTAAGAAATTCTATTCATTCATTCTATAGTAATTGGTTGTTACTCGTACTTAGAATACACAATATATATACCATATATACCTATATAGTATTTTATATACTAGCATTATTGTACCGTTTTGTGCATACTATCGAGTTAACTAAAACTATGAAATTAATTGCAAATAATATCTTTTAGTGCTTAGTAAATAATTTATGTAAATTAAAAAAAGTTAACTTTCTGATTTGATTTGCAAACGATTGTTTTGATCAACAAACTTCATATTTCGCATTATATTATGTATAGTATAGTATCTTTCATGTTCTAGAACTGCTTGTAGCACTAAACAGTATTCTTCATCTTCTATTCACTTCATCAAATCATTGTAAGACACTCTTAACTTTAACTTTAATTCAAGCCAAAAATTTATTGTCCACAGTAAACATAAGTAGTTGTGTCAGTCATCGTTGAATCAATTTAATTCAGAAATATATATAAACCAAGACCTTTAAAATGTTAATGCAAAACTTAAACGATTTTTAAAAAATTACTTATGTTTTAATAAAATTAATAATTAAGTCTAAAGTTAGAAACACAATATTTTTCAAATAAAAATTTAAGAACATAACAACATATATTAAAACATATCATCTGATTGAACATAATAGCAAAAATGGAATATAAGTACCATGCTCCAACTTAAAAGGAAGTTTTCTTTAAATGTTGGTTGTTCGGTTACGAAATGGGAGAAATAATTTCAAATATGTATACTATCTTTCCGGTGTGGTATATAACGAATAAT